TTAGTTGTGACTCTTTTTGAGAGCTTTTTATTATAGTAAAACTCAAATTTTAAACTCAAAACGGTGAAATGAATGGTATACGAAACTTGAAATGTAAAAAAATATTGAGAGGGGGCACAATTGAAAATCATAAGAAAAAACTGGGTAAAAAACTTGAAATATCAAAAGTCGAATCCAAGTGAGAAAATTTCTCTGTGCTAACTTTATTGTGCCAAATTTTGAGAGTAGAAGGAAACAAACACTCCCATGGAATGGCATTGGCCTACTACTACTTAGACATCTTGCTACACAAATGCCGCTCCTTCTGCCAAATAAAGCAGCTTCATTCCCACCTCCTAACCTCCGGACAACTCCACTCCTCCCCCTCCGCCGCCGCCAAGCTCCTCGACCTCTGCTCCCATTCCCCCTCCGCCGACCTCTCCTACGCCGCCCTTCTCTTCCGCCGCCTCCCCACCACTCCATCCACCAACGCCTGGAACGCCCTCGTCCGTGGCCTCGCCCGCAGCCCCAACCCCACCCGCGCCATCTCATGGTTCAGGGACATGTCCCGCGCGCCCCAGAAGGCCGACGCCCTCACCTGCTCCTTCGCCCTCCAGGCCTGCGCCCGCGCGCTCGCCGGCTTCGAGGCCCGGGAGATCCATTCGCGGGTTGTCCGACTTGGGGTCGGAGCGGACGTGTTGTTGATGACGACTCTGCTTGATGTGTATGCGAAAGTCGGGGATTTGGAGTGTGCACGCAATGTGTTTGATGAAATGCCTAGGAGAGATATCGCCGCGTGGAACGCGTTGATTGCGGGGTTGGCGCAGGGGAGTCGGCCCGGAGAGGCTTTGGATTTGTTTAGGAGGCTGAGAGAGGAAGAGGGTCTGAGACCTAATGAGGTCACAGTTCTTGGTGGGCTCTCGGCATGCTCGCAGTTGGGAGCTTTCAGAGAAGGTGAGAAGATTCATGATTACGTGATGGAGGAGAGGCTGGACATGAGTGTGATAGTTTGCAATGCTGTTATTGATATGTACGCGAAATGTGGCTTTGTGGAGAAAGCATTTGGGGTGTTTCGGAGTATGAGGTGCGGGAAGAGTCTTGTGACGTGGAATACGATGATAATGGCATTTGCTTTGCACGGAGAAGCAAGTAAAGCACTTGAGATATTTGGACAAATGAGGGAGGCGGGGCTGGAACCCGACGCCGTGTCCTATCTTGGTGCGCTGTGTGCCTGCAATCATGCTGGGCTAGTGGATGAAGGTGTTAGGCTGTTCGATTCGATGGTGGGGTCCTGTTTGGTGCCAAATGTTAAGCATTTCGGAAGTGTGGTTGATTTGTTGGGTCGGGCAGGGAGGGTCGAAGAAGCTTATAAGATGATAAGTTCTATGCCTATGGTTCCTGATGTGGTGCTCTGGCAAAGTTTGCTTGGTGCTAGCAAGACTTATGGGGATGTGGAAATGGCAGAAATCGCATCACGTAAGCTTATGGAGATGGGATCTAACAGCTGTGGGGATTTCGTTTTGTTATCGAATGTATATGCAGCTCATGAGAGATGGGATGATGTAAGGAGGGTTAGAGAGGCTATGAAAAAAAGGGATGTAAAGAAGATACCGGGCTTTAGCTACATGGAAGTGGATGGTGTAATTCACAAGTTTGTAAATGGTGACCAAAGCCATGCAAAATGGCGTGAGATTTATGCTAAGCTTGATGAGATCAAGTCCAAATTGAAATCGTATGGATATGAAGCCAAAACGAAGGTCGTGCTGCATGATATAGGCGAGGAGGATAAGGAGAATGCTTTGTGTTATCATAGTGAGAAGTTGGCTGTAGCATTTGGTTTGATTAGCACAAGTGAGGGGGCTCCTATTCAAGTGATTAAGAACCTTAGGATTTGTGAGGATTGTCATGTGGTGATCAAACTCATATCAACGATTTTTAGTCGGGAAATTATTGTGCGGGATCGAGCACGATTTCATAGATTCAAAGAAGGTTCATGTTCTTGCAAAGATTATTGGTGAAGCGGTTAAAATTCCTTCACATGCTTACTGGCGCTGTTTGAGGAGCGACTTTTAGTTAATCTAATACAGCATTCAGCAATCTGCACAAATGGCATATGGTGTAAAGTGATGTTACAACATATATCAAAACATGCCTGCCGGCCTAAGCTTTATCCCGGTATCATTCCAACTTTATCGGATATCCTGGAAGAGACCTGACCTAATGCTTTATAGGATCATCGAACTGTAGCTCTGAAATTTTACCCTTTTGATTTTGGCCTAAGGCAAGCATCTTTCTTACATACACGGCAATAAAGTGGGAGGGTTAGAAGCATTACCCTATTTCCAGATTTTGCCACTTTTGGCAGTAAAATTGACTTATAAATGAATGCAAGATGGAGATTGGAGGCAACAATGTCTAAGAACGCTTAAAAACATTACTTTGGTGACTAGTATTCTGTTGTTGAGATGTAGAAAATCTTAATGAAAGTCTTAACAGGGGATAAGAGACCGACAATCTACAAAGGAGGAGAACCAAAGCAAATCTTGCAGTAAAGACGTGTTTGGAAAATCTTATGTTGAGATACAATACACATACACCATTCAAAGTACATTACAATGTGTTGTGTTGACACGAAATTTCTTTACTTCACTGAATTCTGGAAATCTAACATTCTACCAATATATCTCTTATTTTTTTGTCGAAATATGCATTAGTCTGCCCCAATGTTAGAGTTTTAAAACCTTTTTTTTCCCCCCTAAAGAGTCTTAGAACTTACTCACACGCACGTTATAAGATGTTATTTCTTTTAAATTTCTCAAAATGAAGCCACGGTGAACATCAAATGCATTGAGCTACCTTTTTCAATACATTAAGCTTAGAAGTAATTCTTGGCAGAAGGTGGAAAATGGCACTGGATAAGTTAATGGTTTTTAAGCATTATATATAAGAAGCGAAGTCATTTGTTTTCTTAACAAGTAATACAGTAAACGGTACATCTCGAGGGAAAAAAAAAACGTGCTGTTTCTCAGGCAACTCAAACATCATCTTAATTACCAATGTTTTTTTGTTTT